TAAATTATATTATTATTTTATATTATTTAAAATAAAATAATGCTATGGGACGGACCAATTTCCAAGCGGATTGGTTCCTATAATTTTTTTATTTTCACTTTTCAAATCTAATTTTAAATGTCACTTTTTAGGCCTATGATTTTAATTTTTAAATATTAATTTATATTTTTGCTTCTTCATCAAAAGGGCTTTTATTGTTCAGTACTTGGAGGTCAACTGACCTTCCTGTATAGTAAGACGTGCTTATAACTAGTTAAAAGTTTAATTCTAAGTCCCCTTTTCCCCATCTCCTAAAAAAAAAAATCCTATTGGTCAAAAAAATAAAAAGGGCCCTATCATGTCCCTACCGGACTCCCATTACAACAACAGCTTGTATATGAACTACTCAGATTGAAAAGGGTGAAGTCTTCCCAAGAAGTAAACGCAAACGTTTCCGAAGATGGAAAATTGGTTTTATAGAAGAAATGGACCACTGAAAAAATTATGTTGTTCCTTAAGATACCGTTGACTTGTTATCTTTGACCACCAATCATAACGTGTCACTTCATTATTTTTACTGTTAAATGAATTGACATACCTAACATGACACATTATAATTAATTTATCATTGTAATTGGTTGAGGATACCGCGTTTAACAGTATCAAGATACAGCAATTTTCTTGGACCACAGAGTGCGGAGTACGCTAAAATGAATTACTGGGAAATTCCTTTTCCAACCTGTGCCATACGTTCTTGATGATGAGGATGGAAAATTGGTTTAACGGGAAAAGAATAATAATATATGGTACCAAAAGTCTAAACTAAAATTTAATAGGCAAAACCATAAGTTAAGCCCATGAACTAACCCCATAATTTCTATTAATCCCCTAAACTTTAATTGATGCAGTTAAGCCCTTGAACTCTGGGATCAAAGCAATTAAACCCTTCTTCTTACGCTATTAAGCCCCTAGTCTTTAATTTTTAAAATAAATTGCCTAAGAAGAAGGGCTTAATTGCTTTGATCCCAGAGTTCAAGGGCTTAACTGCATCAATTAAAGTCTAAGGGCTTAATAGCGATTCTGAGGTTAGTTCAGGGGCTTAACTTATGGTTTTGCCAATGTAATATTAGTGATGGGATATAAATTATATTATTATTTTATATTATTTAAAATAAAATAATGCTATGGGACGGACCAATTTCCAAGCGGATTGGTTCCTATAATTTT